GAGGCAGCGTGAAGGATTTCAGCGCTGCCTCGGTTCCTGTAAGGAAAAACAACCCGGAAGATCAACTGGCTGCGCTTGCTGTAAAGAAATGGAAGTTATTTAATATAGTTTTGTGTTTTCATTGCCAAGCGGGTGCTGATTGAAGAGGAGAAAAGGTGCAGCAACCTAAAAAGCATGTCTTTATCATACTTCTCTTGCTGTGGCTTGTGATTTCTGCAAGATGCAGCACTGCCTTGTTGGTAGGGACCAGCTTCAGTGCTCTCGTTGGTAGACTGTAGGAAGATGCTAGGTGTCAGTTCTGTATAGTTACTGCCTTGGAGAGGATGCTATGAAAGGTTTCCTGTTTCTTTTTCCTAGGCCAACTGGCATAGCAAGAAGCCCCTGCACTCCAGCAGGAAATACTGTAATCAGTGGACACAGCCTGGGCTCTTCCCATTGCAGCAGACAATTTTATAGACCAATGTGTAGAAGTCAGTGTTGGGTAATGTGGCCAGACATCTGATTCAGTAGCATGGAGCTTTAAAGGTACTATGCTTGAATGAGACTGGTTTAAAAATGGCATAGCTCAGACCTAGGGATTTGGGAGTACTAGTTATTGACAAGCTTAATGTTCACCAGTAGAATCTGGCACCAGAATCGGGCAGTTACTCTGTTAGCCTGCAGAGCACTGCCAAGATCTGCTTGTTGGGTCCCTCTTCACTTTTTGTTTAAAACCCTTATCATAAAATAAATAATAAAGAAGTCAAAGAGTAAATATTGCTATAGGAAATAAAATAACTTTTGCATTGATTTTTCCTTTTCTATAATCTGATGAGGGTAAGGACAGTCCAATAACACGTGACAATAGCTGTGGTTGGATGTTCTGTTTTGAATAGTCATCAAAATACAGTTTGAGTACATGCATGCAATTTTTTATCTGTCTAAACTCTTTTCAGTAATTTCAAGTTTTTATGATCTTTTATTAGTCTTTTAAGATCTGGGTTGGCAGGGATTAATAGATTCTGTGAGCAAGTATGTTAATTTGGTATGAAGCAAATTTGGTAATGTTTGACAGAACTTTGTTCTTATGCTTTAGTTAAGTTCTGGATTGTACTTGGGGATATAAGTAATATCATATGCAAAGAATATGCATGAATTGCATTCTTCAGCCAGTAGAAAACTGGAAATAACAAAGAACTCAACTTTTTTGCTTAGCTTCAGAATTAGTGATGAGTCTAATCAGCATAATAAGAGCTCTTACTGGTAAGTTTTGATTCTAATGTGGGTGTAGCATATACACTGGTACCTGTTTCATTTGACTAGATTGGTATATCCGTGGTCAGCAAGGAAACCTTTGTAAGTCAGCCTGAAAGTTAAAGGTTTTGTGGATGTAGTTTTGTGTGAAGGAGGAAGAATGCAAACCTCCCTTAGTGCAATCAAAATGAAAGTGATAATAAATTTTTGCATTAAACGTTTCTAGTATTACAAGATGCTCTCTTCTTTGTAGGCTTTTGGCAAATGTTATTTCAAAGGAGCTCTGCAAAATACAGGCTTATGCGCATCAAGGGGAGTGGCTTTAAACTGAAAGAAGGTAGATTTAGATTAGATACTGGGAGGAAATTCTTTACTGTGAGGGTGGTGAGACACTGGGACAGGTTGCCCAGAGAAGTTACGGCTGCCCCATCAAGGCCAGGTTGGATACAGTGGCTTGGAGCAACCTGCTCTAGTGGGAGGTGTCCCTGCCTGTGGCAGGGGGTTGGCACTGGATGATCTTTAAGGTCCCTTCCAACCCAAACCATTCTGTGATCGTTTTGCACTACTCTGCATGACCTAGCCTAGGTCTGTTTCATTCCTTGCCTTGTTCTGGTGTTGTCTATCACAAACGTTACTCAAGTGCTGTAGCCTTGTTTTAGCTGCCATTATACAATTCTTTTGAACTGGGGGAAAAAAAATAAAAATATTCTTCTTACTGTATGCTCAATTAAAGTTCTTTGTTCTTTTCCAAATGAGTTTCAGTTAAATGTGGTTTTGTGGTTAATTTCACTTTTTATGTTTGTCTTGGTTTTCTTGAAGGATATAGATAAAAATGGCATATGTGAAGCTATAATTTAGTTTCAACTGTTGTGGTTTTCAGACATAGTAAAAATAATGCTTTTAATATCATCAACTTTTTTATTATTTCAGAAAAATAATTTTTGAGAAGCAGTGGTTCTACTTGGATAATGCCATCGGACATGTTTATGGAACTACTTTTGAAGTAACCAGTGGTGGAAACCTCCAGCCAAAGCAAGAGGTGGAAGAGACTAACACAGGTATTGCAGAGGATTGGTTGGTGTTTGGAAAAACTAATTCGAATTAATTTGTTTCTTTGATAATACCAAAAATGGTGGAAAAACTTTCTATTAATCAGTGGTTAACATAATGTTGCTTATATTCTGTCATGAAAGTGCATGGTTTTGTCTAGATCCGCTGTTTCGCTAGTCCTGTAACAAATAAGCATTTTAATATGGGAGAAAATTTGGACCTTTCTTTTGGGGGAATATATATACACTAAAGTGTATTCTACATATAACATTTCATTGATTGCTTAGGCAATGCTTTGCAAGGCTCTGAAGCATGTGGGTTTAATCCTGAGAAGTCTGCTTTCTGTGAAACTAAAATCATGTTTCTCCAACTTAAATATATTTAGAAGGAGATTTTACAAGTCTATATCCTTTTCCTTTAGAAACAAAAGAAGCAGGTACAGATAATCGTAACATAGTTGACGATGGAAAGTCTCAAAAACTGACTCATGATGACATAAAGGCTTTGAAGGACAAGGGTATTAAAGGACAGGTAAAAATAAGGTTTTGGTGTCATTTCTGTGCTACCTTGATGGTTATATTTTAGCTTATGAAATAGGCTATTCTTTTTATTGGTGCATAGACTTCAGTGCTTTTTCTTTGTTCTGCTCAAGTCATGGTTTTCCTAAAGATGTGTTTTTTACAGAAATGCAAAGGCTATTTTCAGAGAAAACTTCATGTAAGGTTGGCAGCTCTGTCATTAGAGAGTAAAGTATGAATTTTTATGGCATCAGAAGTCATAACAGACAAAGAGAAATACTAAAACCTGTAAAGAAAGAGCTCACATAATCACCTTTTAGTCTTGTTTGTTCATAAGATTAAAACCAGTATTTCTATATTACGGACCTATTAATCATGCAATAATTAATCAAAGGTGTAGGAATGAATTATAGATGAACACCAAAGTGTTGACAAAGAACACTGTAACAAATATACTATCAGTGTGCCTCTAAGTGGTTCCTACCAAACACGTGATGCCTGTATTTTATCTGCATCTCAAAAGCTAAGAATATTCTCAAGAGATCTGTTCTGTTAGAAAAGGGTTTGATTTTTACCCTGCTCTTTGTCAAAAAGAAGTGAGGCCATATTAAATGTTAATAAACCACTGCAGCCAGTTCTGTTGGGCACATAATATCAGGCAAAATTCTCTGTTGTCTTTGGTTTACCTTTTCAAATAAAAATAAGAAATCGCTCATGCTTACATCAAGTTCATCTCCTCTTTGCATCTTGCTGTTTGCTCCTGCTCCTCAAAGCAGCTGTTCTGCTTTTGCCTGCTTAATAATGGATGGCTACAAGGAGTTTAAATTGGTATTTCTTCTGTTTCCATGGTTGTGCTGCTAGTTGTGTTATCTCTTGGAGAAGAATGTACTAATCAGTCTGATAGCTTTGATGTTTTCCATTCGTTCTTATTATGCATGGCAGAAGATCATTCTGGCCTTTCTGTATGTCCTCAGCATGCCTGTGCCATATATCTACCATACATTTATTTAGGTTGTTAACTCTGGTTTATGAACTATAGCTGAATATTAATTTTAGATTGTGTTATATGTTGGATGCCAGACAGGGACTCTTCATCATCTCAGGGACTGTAGTGATAGGACAAGTGGTAACGTGTTTAAACTTAAACAGGGGAAGTTCAGGTTAGATATAAGGAAGAAATGCCTTACCGTGAGGCACTGGAACAGGTTGTCCAAAGAAGCAGTAAATGCTCCATCCCTGGCAGTGTTCAAGGCCAGGCTGGACAGAGCCTTGAGCGATGTGGTCGAGTATGAGGCGTCCCTGCCCATGGCAGGGGGGTTGGAACTAGATGATCTTAAGATCCTTTCCAACCCAAACCATTCTATGATTCTGTGATATGAACAGCAGTAGATATTATTCTTCCATAAATGACTGAAAAATCTGAACTCATGTTTGTGAATGGCATGTCTTTGTCATGTAGGCTCATTTTAGAGATGATTGAAATAAAGCATCCTCTGTTAATGGGGTCCATTACTTCCCAAATCCTTCCCAGGTCCTGGGGGATAGGTATTAGGATGAAGACATGAAGTGGCATGTACTTCCAGGGCATTGTGTAGTGCTGCAGCTTCCTTTTGGCTTTTGCTTACTCTAGAGAAATATTCCTCAGTTTCCTCAATGTAAATTTTACTTTAACAAAAAACCCCAACAAAATGACACAAGTATTGCAATTAACAGTTTCTGAGAATAAGGAAAAAAAGGAAAGATAATTTGTCTCATGCCATTAATAATACATTTTAAGTGTTTGAAGGACTTTTAAGAACTAATGGCTTGAAAAGCAGCAATAGCAAGTGAGAAGTAATGCACCACTGCATTTTGGAGCAAGTTCTTAAAGTGCAATAGGAGATGTGGTGTCCACATTGAAAAGAATCCTTTTGTCATTCTTCCCCCTGCCAATTCCTGTGAGGCCAGGTTATGCTATGTTCTTGTTTGATAGAAACTTATAGTTTTAGCAGTTAAACTACTTTGATCACAACAACCAAAACAGCACTTTGCAGCATTTGTTCTTGAATTGCAGACAGGGAGACAAACCTTTTTTTTTGTTGGAGGACTTAGTGATCCCTCCAGCTGGAACCCAGAAATACAAGGAAAAGTTGGATTGGCAAAGGGAGGAGATCAGAACAAGGATACCAGGAAACAAAAACTGGAATTCTGGGAAAACCTGGGAGGTAGACAAGGAAGAAGTCAGGGGAGCATTATAGGAAATAGTAAAAGCTGAGTTTGACATTGTGCAAGGAGTTGGTATAGGAGTCCAGCACAATTTGTGATGCAGACAAAGTGGTATAAGGGAAATGTCTGCAAAGCAGTCAGACTATAGGGGAAGAACTGGGACAACATGGGAAAAAATTATACCCTCAAAGATAGAGATGCTGAAGTCGGACAAAGAGACCCAAAGAGGGAGTTGGATTAAAGTAAATATTACATATGACATCAGGTTTCGTATTTTCTCTTGTTGTTGTTAAGTATTTTGTCTGTATAGCGCCACACAGGACTTGGGGTACTGTCGTGCAATCCAGTTACTATGGCTTATGTTAGACTAACAGAGTGTATGTCAGTTGTTCCATGATAACTGACAATAAACACAACTGACTCATTCAAAATACAGGATAATAAAAAGTAGCTGATCACTTAGAAAAGCAGGGTAGTCTCATTCACATTCAGCATGGGATAGGAATATTTAGGTACTGAGGCTTCACAATAAGGGTTAAAGTAATGACTTGCTGATGCCAAAAGGAACAATCTGGTTTTAATTCATTTTGGTCCAATACAAGTCTGACCTCTCTCATGAGTTAGTTCTGGCACTTACCAGACTCCTTTCCCACAAAATGCCTCATTTCCAGGATAAGCATTTTCAATTGTGCATTTTCAATTATACATTTTCACACAGGCCTCATGTAGTTACAGAACACCAAGAGACAAAAGTAGACAATTAAATTACTGCATTTATGTTGATTAATAGGAATTTACTTCGCCGTTAATGTCAGTAGAAGTCAATGGTATACCACCTCTACTGGAAGAAAGTATTTTCAGTGTTTGTTTAAAAAAATACTATATATAAAATGAGAAATAAATACCAGCTATAATAAAAAGAAATTGTCTCTTCCAAGGAAATAGTTCAGCAGTTAATAGAGAACAGTACAACGTTCAGAGACAAAACAGAATTTGCGCAAGATAAATACATAAAGAAGAAGAAGAAAAAGTAAGTGAATTTTGAACTGTAGAAAATACTTAGTTCTCTCATTTGCAGAGCTTAAAATAAGACTTGCTGTGTGTTTCTTACAGGTATGAGGCACTTATTACAATTGTGAAACCATCCACTCGCATTCTTTCAACAATGTATTATGCAAGGGAACCTGGAAAAATTAAGTAAGTTTTTATTTTATTTCTTTTTTCAAATTATAACAGAAAGATATTTTAATATTATTTCAAAATACCTGTATTATTCTGGAGTATATAATATTCACATATCTTTTTCCCTGTTAATGGAAAGAAAATTAAAAATGTGATACAGAAAATGAATCAATATGCTATTGCAGCAAAGAGGAAGACTTTTGCATCCAGAATAAGCTTTCACTATCTCCCTGCCACCACCATCTTGCTAAGTACTTACGGAAGCAGAGGCTCTTCGCATGTTCAGAGCTATTTCTTACATGGTTTTGGTCAGTGGCATATCATCTCAGTAATGAAAATAACAAGCCACCTACCAGAAGCAGGAATTTTTGTCTTTAGTGTGTTAGGGATTCAAAATTTCTTTCAGTCAGAAGTCTTTCTAGAATTTAAAAACCTGTGGTTAACATTGGGGGTGGGGGGGTGACAACAACAGAGATCTAAGCAGTGTTTGATTTTCACTTACCTAAATTAAGCGGTGCACTCTTAGAGACATTGTTTGAAATGGACTTACTGTTTTTAAAGTAGTAAGAGGAGATCTAAGATGCTGAGACTTTAAACCCCCAAATTTGATGTTTAAGGCTTCCTAAACCTTTTTCCTCCTCTTTCTCCCATCTCCATCACTTGTTTTTATTTATCTACTAAGATTAGTTTTCATTTCCTTGGCCATCACTGAGTCTCTTTAGTGCATGTGCTGTGGTCAGTAGAGTCTGGTTTTGGTCCTGGATTGCAGGTGGTGCATGCTGCTGTGGAACAGGTGAACATCACAAAGGACAGCTCACTGGATTCGGAAATACATTCAAATACTGTTAGTTCTGTAGAAAACTGACAGAGAAAACAAAGCTTAAAAAATATTTTGTCTCACTGACACAGCATGAGATATCCACTTTAGTATGGGCACCCTACTTCACATCCTACTTTTGCTATTCCCTGCTCATTTCTTGTTGGCTCTGATTCTAGTCCTTCCTTATTACCATACCAGATGGTTAATTATAAGCGCCCACATGGTGACTCTGAAGACCACTGATGCTGTTCCTGAAAATCTTGCTGTAATCCAACTTTTTGGACAGGCTCCTGAGCTAATACACAGTATTTCTAACTCTTAAGAAAACTAATTTGATACTGTTAAACCCCTTCTGTCTTCCAGCCACCTGCGCTATGACACCCTGGCTCAGATGTTGACTCTAGGAAACGTCCGTGCTGGCAACAAGATGATTGTGATGGAAACATGTGCAGGCCTTGTGCTGGGTGCAGTGATGGAGCGAATGGGAGGTGAGGAATATGGTAGCTTTAGTAATAAGTACAGACTTATTTAGTCTTACTTTAGTAAAAAGTACAGACTCAGGGCTTACTTGAAGCTTAAGAAATATGCATATATGTGGTACGTTTAAAAGGCAGTACTTCAAAATGCTTTCTCGGTTTCTAAAATTTCTTTCAGTGTCTCTGCTATTCAAAGAGGTACTTGGTTTTCCATTTCCAGGGAGTTGTATTTTGCATATTTCAGTTGGATTTATTTTTTGCTATTGAAAAATAAATAGGAATTTTAAAGTTGATATCGCTGTGTGTAGGTCTGGTTTAGTTTCTGTCTTAGCATAATGACGTGTATAGAAAAGGCTGTAAGGAACTTGTACGCCAATTGTTCCCAGGCACCTGGGAAGTCCAGGAAAGTCAATGGCAGAAAACAGGAATAGTAACACTGGAATTCAGATGGCCCATAGCACTGGAAATGTCACCATTCCTCTTGTTCACTGCACCAGAGATTTAACATATACAAAATGTGTGTATTAAAAACTAAGTCAAGCCTGTCCTAGAATATGCTCAAGAAAATGTCATATACTACTTTTATTTCTCAAACTCAGTTAACTGGTTTCACCACAAATCAGTCAAAGACACTAGAGAGGGGTGACAGTTATATTCCAAAAGCCTAGAAAGGTAGGAAGTGTGATCTAATGTTGCGCACCCAGATGTGCTGTCTGTTGGCTGAGCAGCTCAGTAGCCCTTGTGCTATAACTTGGTTTTTGTTTCAGGAATTTTTGGCCGTAGGGATACTTTCTGAAGTACATTAAATAAGATGCCATTTCAATCTAATTATTGAAAAGTTCTTTTTAGTATGTTTAAACATCTGACATCTCTAGCATCTGCATGTTGAAGAAATTCTTTGCCTGTTAGTACTGTTTAAACTAGCCTTTATTTTTTTTTCTCAAAACCACTCCGTAGTTATAAGTAACAAATCCTATATCAAATGTCTTTTAGTTCTTAATTAAATTAGCTTTTCTAACAATTTGTCACTAGTTACTTGTTCTTTGCTCATCCTAAATACATTTAATACATGCAGAATCCTTGAGTTACCTTGTCCTTTTGAGTTCTAGTAATTGTTGTTCGTCCAATAAAGGTCTTCTACCTTGAGGCATGCTTCAGCATGTTAAGCCTGATGAAGATTACATTAAAAACAGGCAATTTACTTAGGTATTTCTAAATGAACACTTCATTTTAGCATTTTAGGAATCTTAGGCAATTTAAGAAACTCTGGCTTTCCAATGTGTTTTTGATTCTCTTGCTCTCGTAGGCTATGGATCCATTATTCAGATGTATCCAGGAGGGGGACCTGTTAGAGCTGCTACCAGTTGTTTTGGATTTCCAAAAGCCTTTTTTGATAACCTTCATGAATTTCCTCTCAGCAAAGTGGGTAGTCTGCTCTCTGGGACATTTTCTACAGAGACTCTGCCTTCGGAACCCGAAGATAATGTGCTAGCGGAAGAAGCAAGCAATGGATTGACTGATGAGAAGCAGACTTCCCTACAGGGAACAGAAGAGGAATCTACTACTGAAGCAGCTATGGAGATCAACCAAACAGAAGAGCAAGAAACAATGGACATTAATGCTGAAGATGTAGAACTTAAAGAGAACAAAGAAAAAGAAAATAAAGAAAATGTAAGAATATTTATTGTATTTCAAGTTTTACAATGTCTGTGTACTTTTACAGTGTCATCTGAATCAGACATGCTGAAATACAGCCTTATCAGGTGTTAAAATAGAACTCTGCAAGTCGTCTTTTGTGTTAACCTTAAGCCATCTAAGATGCAGAAAAGGAAAATTCAGTCCATGCAATAGTAATTCAATATATAGCTACCAGTTAAAGTGCAAACTATTTGTTTTGTTGTTCAAAGGTTCGGGAAAAGCAAAGAAAACAGTGGGAGAGAAGGAAAAAGCTGTTAGAAACTGCTGCTTTGTTGAGAGAGAAGAATGCTGATGGGTGAGTTTGTAGTCAGAAATGTCTGTTTGAAAACACACCTACAGGAAGTAAGTTCCTTTGAAACAAATCAAAGCTTTGTTTTAAAAATACCCATTTCTTTTCTTTATGTTTACAAGCAAGCAGTCAACCCAGGTGTGTCTTGGGTCTCATTTGGTTATTACCTGGTTGAGATTTTTTTCTGTTAAATGATTCTGTTAAAAGATTTTTTTTCTGTTATTTAAAAGGTTTGAAGTTTCATGATCTAAAAGTCATGGTTTCCTGGCAAGCTATGAGTAAACATTTAAAAAGAAATAAATATTCCATCCAAAGAGAAACAGAATCCAGGTAGAATTTAATACAAAATGATTGCCAATTAAAATAATCCCAGGATTCTGAGTGGCAAAGTAGAACCTGAGGGTTTAAGTTTATTAAATTGGAACTAAGTTTGTTGGCTTGGGGTTGGTTGGTTTGTTTTTAGAAATTCATTTCTTTCTTACACAGGAGAAAACACGTAACTTCATTTTACTGCTTTAGACAGGATCGATTGTTCCCAAGGAACAATTTAAAATAGATTTAGCATCAGAAGTTTAAAACAAATAAACTAAATATATTCCTAGAAATAAATGTGGGAATATATAAAAATATTTATAAATATATTCCCATAGTAGTGTAAGAGCATTTGGTGGTTGAGACTTGTGACTTCTTCATGATGTTCATAGCAAATGCTGAAGTGATTTGAGTTAATCAAGTAAAGTTGATTTAATTAGTAACATTCATATTCATTTTTCCCTCTTAATAATATTAGCTCACTGGGAATAAAGCACTTCTACTTGGATAAATTTTAATACACATTTATTGGTTATCTTTAAATGCCTGTGTATAACTTTGCATTACTATGAAATATTTCAACCTGTGCTCATTCATATCTAGCGTATTTAAGTGGTAAAATTACTATAAAGATGCAGAGACAGGGCTTTCTGTATTCCCTGAAGCAATCAAGTGGTACAGGAGGTTTGTAAAAAGTACTGCACATCTGTTTGGCAGCAGCACCACCGGCCATTGCAGTGGGTGACCATTGTCCTGGTTTAAACCACTGCACCATTAAGCTGCCTAAATAGCAGTAGGGTTTTGGGCTGGTTTTACCACTGTCTCCTGCAGCCATCATTATAATTCATGGCAAAGTGAAAACTAATATTTGATACTTCCTGTAGTTTAAAATAGTATTTTCAGTTGTTGATTAAGTTTGAATTTAAGAAAGTCTGTTTAATATTTGTCTCTTGTTCATTTGTTTTCAATTGCTTGTATACTTCTGTCCTTTGTAATGCATGAAAGCTGTAATAAATGACCTACCTGAAGGGATGAGTGATTTCTTGCTTTAGGAAGTCTTCAGCATGATGGGGGGGAAGAGAAGTTTATGGTTGCCTGAAGGCACTGTTGCAGATGGCTCAGTCAGGATCACCTTTCTTTAGTCATCTGCCTTTTATAGCTCACCATTTGTTTAGATCAAGAACCGCAGGGAAGATACACTGCTAAGCCAGGAAAAATTGGCCTGGAATAAAGAAATGCTTCAAACTAATGACCTGGTGCATGAGTAGAAGCAGGCAGGGAAGTTAGAGGTTTGTTTGCGAGAGAAACGGGGAAAGGGTAGGTAAAAAAAGCTGGTTGACACTGGAGGTGGGGAGAAAGATTAGGATTTACTGTTAGAATAAAGAAAAACTGGTCTTTAGGTGAATATGGGCACCAGCTTTAGGAGAATTACTTCTTGAGGTCCTGGATTTAACAATATTTACTACTTAATGTAGAAGATAAAAATTTTATTTAAATTGTATCTTCTGTGCTGTTATGTGGTAAAACATTGCTTGTACTACATTGATTTGTTCAATTCCATTTCTGTGAGAGTTGAAGTCTGTCATAGGTCTTTGAGTGGAGGGAAAGGAAGACATCAGGGATTTGGTTTTCTTTTAAAGACTGTTTTAAGATAGACTATTCTTCTGATACCACAAAAGTGGAAATTTGTTCATAGACACTCCTTGTGTTCAGAATTAGACCAGATACCCCCTCCCTACCCTTCCGTGCCCTTCCTCTCTCCTCCTCCTCCCCTCTCGCCCATTACATTCATTTTGTGACTGGCCAGACCACCTGCTGACAACAGTATGTGCTGCCATATGAGGGAACAGAATTTGCTTTTTCAGTGTCTCTCTCATCTCTCACTTACCTTCCTGTGGCCTGGCAGAGCTCCTGGCAGCATCAGTGCAGTATTCCAAGCCTCCTGAGGCTCAGTTTGGAGTTATTTCTCTTTATGGTCTGCTCGGTTAATTACTGACCACAAATGTTCTGAAGTTTGGATTTGAAGTAGACAGCTCACAAGGCCATGATGGGCAGAAAACCAAAATGGAAACCACTGAAAGAATTGTCTCACCTCTTCATCTCTGTTGTGTTTAGAAAATTGAACATCCATTTTTACCTCCCTTTTGGTATGAAGTTTAACAGTGTCTCCAGTGCTTCATGCTTTCCTGGAGAACGAATGTAAATTGGTGGGTCGTCTCATAGAGTATCTGTATACTGGAGAAGTAGTTTCATTAGCCAAATCTTTCTGCATCAGAACAACTTATTAACTGATTTACTGAAACAAATCTAGTTTAGAAGTGATTTTCTTGATTAAAACTCTACATTAGTCTGTAAAGAATCTTAACTATCTATCTCTTATACTATGATATTAAAATGTGAGAAGAATAAAATATGAAACCTTTAAGTTGGCAAGGACATAATTTCTTTTTAAAGGATTTTTAGTCATGCCCATTGAGGGACTGTTTTATATAATAACTTTTGTATAAAACTGTATTTAATGAAGATGATCCAGTCTACAAAGAATCACAACTGAGGTTCCATTCTAAGCGACAACTATCAGTCACAAAATGTAAATTCTATTTGGAGGGTGGGCTTAGAGTAGAGAAAGCAGCATGCAAATTCTTAGGCCAAAAGAATTAGTGTGGAGCTCAGCACAGCTGAACTGAGTGCTCCTGCGGTGCCTTTAATATACTGCACTTTAGGGAGCAAGTGTTTTTAGCCTCTTAATTATGCAAGTAGGAAATCGTGATTTGTTCTTGTATTTGGGGAATTGTTGGAGCCCTGAAAACATGCTGATGAGCAACATTTAAGCTGTAATTGATTGCTGTACTAACTAGGAGAAAATGTCACTTGATGAATAGGTTTCAGAAGCAGAAAACTAATGTGCATGAAATTTCTTTTGCAGCTTAATTGTAGCCAGCAAGTTTCATCCCACTCCTTTACTGCTTGCTTTATTGGAATTTGTTGCTCCTTCAAGGCCTTTTGTTGTCTACTGCCAGTATGAAGAGGTAAACCATGTTTGTTCCTTCAGCTGTTACAGCTCAAGTGTGGGACTGTTCTGCTCTATAACCTACTATTTGTTTTTTATTTAAGCCATTATTAGAATGTTATACAAAGCTGAGGGAAAGAGGTGGCGTTATTAACCTAAAGCTGTCTGAAACCTGGCTACGGAACTACCAGGTAAGGATTACAGTGAGTGGCTGGAAGAGAGGGTAAAATGCCTCAACAGCAAAAAATGTCAGTTCCTCTAACTTGTTTTGTTTGAATGAGATGTTTGTACATGTGGAGTAATGCCCTCTCAATTATGAAGAAGCAGAAGCATGTCTGGTTTCTGAGTAGCTCACTACCTCTGAAGAGGTTCTAGTACCTTCCCGACTTTCTCCTTGCCTATAGCCTTCTGGAGTCCGTAAGGAATTACCATTTGGGGGATGACTTAATTCAAGGGTAGCCACAATTACTGACGATTGATCAGGCATCCAGATCGGGAACAATGAGGAGATTCATAGATGAAAATGTTCACACAAGTTAGGCTTGGTGAGGGTAACTGTGTCCAGGTGCAGTTAGGAACAACGCTGTATCGTGTCCTGGACACAGGTAAACCAGCAGTGACTGATGGCAGTCACAGCAAGGAGGAAGCGTAACTGAAGAGAAAGCATTTAGAGAAAAGTACAGTGTAGCTGAAAGCGATGGTTCATTGCCATGCCTTACCTTAAGACTAGCTACATAAAGATGATGGTGACACAACTGGGAATTACTGTATTCCTCAATGCTGTTAGACCAGCTGTGGCTTTTTCCAGAGTAGAACAGTTCTGAACACATTACTGGGACTTTTCATGGATCCCAAACTTTGGCTTTACAATTTTGCTGGAAAGGCAGTAAGTAGTAATCAGCAAAGCCCATATTCTCACGTATTTCTGTGGTTCCTGGTATGCAAATACTTGGCCTTTTAAAGACAAATACACTTTCCAAAGGGCTGTTTGTTGTGATGGCTGGGAAAAAAAATGACATCTTGCGCTGTAAGTTTAAAATACACAATTTGATGTGCACCTGCAGAGTGAGTTTTTACAGATCCTTGTTTTCTTGTTTGTTTTGGGTTTTGTGTTTTCAAAGGTCTTACCAGATCGAAGCCATCCAAAACTGACAATGAGCGGAGGTGGAGGGTACCTTCTGTCTGGTATAACTGTTGTCTTGGATAAGGGCAAATCTGATTCCAGTAATTCAGAAGCACTGAAGATGGAAGAGCCATCATCTAAAAGATGCAAAGTTCAAGACCTTCATTGTTAACATTTGAAGAATTGATTTGTTTTTTAGATCTCAGGAGTCTTACTGTTAGTAAAATAACAAGTATACTTTCTGTGCTCTTGACAGCACAGGAATTGTACCTGCCATACATCTGTCAGCAAAAAGCTGCAGAGCTGCCTGGTAGGGAGGACTGACTTGCTTTTTACCAGTGTATGTGATCAGAATGAGAAGAAAAACCCCTGGAAGCAAACATCACAGTGACTTCAGTGACTTCAAAAAGAAGAGAGGATCAAGAGAAGCTCAAGCATCAATGAAGATGTTCTGTTTGTTTGGTGCCAAACGTGGACATGGTGAAGTAGTTTTTAAAAGGTTGAATTCCGAATCAACACATGGACCTTTGCTTTCCATTTTCGCAGCACAGCATCAGGATGACACATTGTAGGTAGTGATCTGCTCCCCCCTGGGAGACAGAACCCGGCTGTGTTCAGCAATTTCAGGAAGTGGAATCAACAGCAAAATAGTTTCCTTTCCAAAGGAACAGTCAAAAGAGAATACTAATGCCAGAACTTTACAGCATGACCCCATTTTCCTGAAATAAGTACAGAAGAGAAAGTGCATGTTCATACATTAAGATATCAGCTATTTAAACAGAATGTCTCTGTTAGCATTGCCTGTCATTTTCCTGGGAGTTGTGATATGCTTTTACACCACTATGTGTGTGTATGTATTTATTCTCCTGGTTTATCTTTCATGTGTAGCTTCTTTTTAATTATTTTTTTTAAACTTTGCATTTGTCATTTCAATTAAACCACAGGATGCTTTTCCTAAGGAGCTTTATTTTATTTTTCTTACTTTTCCCTCTTTTGGGAAATAAAAGGTCTGGCAGAGGCTTTAAGAGGGGAGCGCCCTTGCTGGCTGCACACCCTTGAACCTCCAGTGGGGAGCTTTAGGCTGTGGAGCCAGCAAGCCTGGGCCTTCTTGAACTTGCTCGTCAGGGGCAATCTGTAGCTCTGGGGTCAGGTGATTGGACTTCATAAAGGTGTAAAATTCTGTAACGAGAGCGGCGTTGTTGAAATGCAAGTTACGATTGTCTGGAACGGTTGGGAGCCTTTATTCTTTTACAAGTAGGAAATCGGGGAAAATACAAAAATGAGAAGAGAGAGAGTACATCCTGCAAGATCTTAATACATTAAGTTGAAAATAATGGATGTAATAAAAAGTGTCTCAAAGAGAAAAGACAACGTGGGGGATGAGGAAGAGGGAGGCGGTACTTGCACACATGCGTTTAGTCTCCATCAAGCATAGCTCAGGAATCTACTAATCAGGATGAGTGCCTTGTGTGCAGCTGCCCATTATCTGCAGCTCCTGATGTGCTCATCTAAGCATGAATCCGGCCCAGACAGGGTGACAGAGGACATCCAGGTGCTGCTGACACCTCAGGGGAGCCTCAGCCTTCCTGCAGCAACCAGCAGGGTTCCAGCTCAATGGCTCACTGAAAGCTCAAGCCTCTGCTCCTGTAACACACTGGGGATGTGTGGCAGGGCCTGGCTTGGCCTGGCAAAGGGATCGCTGCATATACAGGGACTTGGCACCTGTCTTTATTGTCACAGAGCAAATATACTACTGCCTTCACTATGCAAACTGGCTGAAAACAGCTGATCAGAAGAAATGAGCAGTTGCTGAACTTTCTAGTCCTGTGCTTTACTAAAACTACACATCAGATTTACCTCTAGTCAGGGGTGCACAAGCCAGAAGCAAGACAACACTTTTTCAGTAGCAAAAACCACCATCTGTGCTTCATTTAATTTCCTGGAACAAGATTATGCACCTCAATACACCCATACTTGTTTTAAATTGTACCACCTACCTTCAATACCCAAAGCATGCGTTTGCCTTTAAATAATGCAAATTAATGTAAATCATACTGAAGAGCTGTTAAAAAACCCAACCCTCTCATGTTACCCATCAAAAAGTCTTGAGCAGGGAATGCAAATGTGTGGATAAAAATGGAACAGGCAGCGCAGTCAAAACAGCTGCTCGGCTCTTGGTGCTGGTGGCGTCAGCCCCGCAGAGCAACGCAAGCGGAGCATGGGAAGATGACAGATAAAAGAGCTGTCACAAAGCTCTTAGAACCACTGAATGATACTTTCAAGTCTTTCCAGGGACGTGTTTAAGCAAAACACTGCTGATTCATGAGTGTCTATCTGCATAATCTGAGCTTTTGAAAGAAGTTACATACTTGAACAATTTAGAAAGTTTTCTGTGCTACAACTAAAGCTATTTGCTTCTAGGTGTTTACATACTCATGGACATGCTTTTGCTCATACCAGCTGGGGGAGGGAAAAAAGTGTCCCCAGCTGGGACACTTCCCAACTGTCCTTACTGTTGCTGGAAAAGTCTGGTGAAATCGTGGTCCTACTGAAGTGAAAATTCTTTGTCAACTCCTTCGAGCCAGGATTCAGTCCTCATGTAGCTTAACCAAGCAAGATAAAGTATTTGAGTGGTCGTACCAAAGTCCCTGGCATAGACATGCTCAAACAGTTCAAGGATCAGCATCTTCCTATTTTCACTTTGTATTGCCTTACAGTTAATTGGAGAGTGTGTGTTTAAATGAGCAGCTGGATTAAAAGGGTTAAGCTGTGATGATGGACACTGCACATTTACTGGTAACGTGACTCAGCTGAGTTCTTGGTACAGCACCTCTCTCCTGTGTTCAGTGTTACACAAGCACGGAATCACAGACTGGTTTGGGCTGGAAGGGACCTTAAAGCTCATCTAGTTCTACCCTCCTACCATGGGCAGGGACACCTTCCACTAGAGCAGGTTGCTCCAAGCCCCTGTGTCCAACCTGGCCTTGAACACTGCCAGGGATGGGGCAGCCACAGCTTCTCTGGGAAACCTGTGCCAGGGTCTCACCACCCTCACAGGGAAGAACTTCTTCCTAATCTCTAATCTAAATCTATCATCTGTCATTTGAAAGCCATACAAGCAACTGAAGACAGTCACAGCAGAAAGTCTGTAAAAACCACATTTGGGTAAGTTTAATTAAATCGAACCCCAGACACTTGTAATAATTGAAACTAATTATTGGATCATTTCTTTTACTGCTTCATAGTTCACACAGCTTCATAGATTACTAAGTGGTTCCTTCCACACACCACTTACTTACTCATGTAAGGCATCCTACCAGTGATTACACAGAGCCCATCCTGCCCCATCGGTGCCTGCTGAGAAACTCACCTTGTGCACGGTCAGCCCTGCTCCACTGCTACACACGGGCTCTGCAATGCTGCTCACCGTGACCTGCTTGCCAGCAGTAGGCAGAAAGAAGACGTCATTAGCAAAGCATATTCAGTAGGTGATTAAATTAATGGCACTACTCAGTCTGAGTAAATGGCAAAACCACTATGTAATGCATCAATTCTGAAGCACCACGTGCTTTCCAAATAAACAGCCTCTTTGCTGCTTTAATGACTAATTTCCAAAACTAAATAATTCACAGGATGTTTCTCAGTTACTGGAGCAAATTAATTGGTGTTCCTTCTTACCTCTTGTGCTGCTGCTAACAGGTAAAATAAAAGGCACAGACGGGCTGCTTGTAACTTCTAAAAAGCACCGGTGAACCACAAGTTAACATTTTGTACACAATCTGATACAGCTTACTTTGAAATAACCCAATCAATCAAATAAGCAAGGAGAAAGCTTGGTCCAAGATCAATGGGTTTTATTATTTCAAACTCAGACAAATATATCTCTGAAGAACACCAACACAATTATTTTCACAAGCATATTAAAAATATCTGCCTTGCATGAAAGGTTAGAATACTAAAATTCATGCTATTCAAATCTCAATAGCATAATAGCAAACCAAAGACATTTTCAGCTGTATAAATCACTACACTATAGTGGACAGTAAATAGTATTTCCTGTCTTTAGGGCAAACAACAATCCAGTGGCAGTGAATTTACCACAAAATACAGGTATTGTGAGTGCAGCTACACTGAGCTTTGAAGCACCAAGCAACTCATCTTCAGCCTCTCCTGTTGTCATTAAACTTCTCAGCTATTTTCTGCAGCTCCAAATCCATAGCAGCCAGGTTTTCCAGCTCTTTTTCCTGGGGAAACATAAAGAGCATTTCACCCATCAAATAACATTGGCAAATGTTTTGTTCCATGATACTGAGAGACAGAGATTGTTTGTGAGGCCGACATCTCCGCTGCTTGCTAGTCCCTGGGCAGGCTGCTGGGGCGAGAGGTGTTAACCGCAGTGCAGCACGTACTGCAGGGTTTGTGCCATTTCCTGCTTTTAACCAAATTAGGGCTGGGGAAAGTATCAAAATGCTCTTTCTGAGACCCGGCCTAATTACAGCTTGATCTTTTTAGCTTTAAAGCACCATTATTAGCTCTGGGGCCCCCGAACAAGAGGGACATGGACCTGCTCAAGCCAGTCCAGAAGAGGCCCACCAAATGATCAGAGGACTGGAGCAGCTCTGCTCTGGAGCCAGGCTGAGAGAGCTGGGCTTGTTCAACCTGGAGAAGAGAAGGCTCAGGGGAGACCTTAGAGCAGCTCCAGTGCCCACAGGGGCTGACAAGAAACATGGAAAGGGACTTTTTACAAGGACATGTAGCAACAGGACAAAGGGGAATGGATTTAAACTGAAAGAAGGGAGACTTAAATTAGATATTAGGAGGTTGGTGAGGCCCTGGCACAGGGTGCCCAGAGAAGCTGTGGCTGCCCCATCCCTGGCAGTGTTCAAGGGCAGGTTGGACACAGGGGCTTGGAGCAACCTGCTCTAGTGGAAGGTGTCCCTGTCCATGGCAGGGGGTTGGTACTGGATGACCTGTAAGGTCCCTTCCAACCCAAACCATTCTATGATTCTATGATTACTTAGCAGTGACCGCCACCTATCTCACAGCTGCTGTTCCCTGCAGCGTGCAGTCTCTTGCTGTCCATGTGAAGGTCCCTTAGGAGGCTACAACCTTGTGATCACAGTGGTTCAGGCTTACAGCATACAGCAAGCACAATGTGCAACAAGAGGAACA